TTGGATGTCTCATTTCTCTGTGTCATCTCCATAGATGTGGGAGGGAGATGATCACCTGGCAGCAGGAGACACAGTCTGACGTGTTTCTGGCCGCGTGGGCGGAGGCAGGCTCCTCAGAGATTCCCACTCGGGTGCAGGCAGGTTATTGTCTTCCGCTGTAGGAAAGTGTTTCAGGGCTGGCCAGGAGGAAGCACAGTGGGCTCTTATTAGGAAAAGAGCACTCAGAAGAGAGTCCTGGGCATGCGTCAGGGGGCACACTTGCTCGTCACTCTCCTTGCCGCTGTGACAAGAGCATCATTTGTCTCCCAGGACAAAATGAAGCTGGCAAGCACCCTGGAGCAGCACCCGGCACAGAGGTCCCCTGCAAAGAGCTGTTGGACTCGGAACCTCAACCGGGCTGTGTCACCGTGTTAATGAAACCATTCAACCCCTTTCTCAATGCTTCATGAAATGGGAAGAGATTCATTTTTTAAGTGTTCCTTCTTCAATTATTAAAGTTCTTCAATGATTTTTCTCGTCTAGTGACAAACGACCACAAAACACAGCCTTTGGTCGTTGCCACCTTTCCTCTAACAAGTTGTTCTACAGTGGTCAGCAAAATGTCCTCAAAGACACCGGCATCTGTCATCACGAGGTCTATTGATCTGTGGCATTTTTCAGAAATAGATGTTTTCATGGTTCCAGAACTTTCTTTTGTAAGACAATACTGTAATATTTAAGGATTGCATATTAGACGGCAGTTTGCTCTAGTAGTCTCCTCACCTCCCTCTCTCTCTCTCTCACACACACACACATGATAAAGACAGACATTACAGACATACACGCATGTAGGATTCCCAGTTTCTACATCTGATTGTCACCTCCTCCTTTTCTATAGGCCCTGTCTGGCCTTCTCCTCAAGGCCGGTCTGAGGCCTGACAGCATGAGCCAGCTTTGGTCCCGGCTAGCCGAAGCAACTGACACCTAGCCAGTGGTCCTCTCCTTCCCATTTCTGCCCGCCAACCCCTGGCAGAGATCAGGTCAATCTCTATGGCGGCTAGCAGCCAAGGGAAGTTGCCCCTCTGCCGTGAGGATGGAGAGTCCTGCTGGCCATCTCCCTAGAAAATGCCACAAGGGTAACTTCAGAGGGCTTGTTTAGGACCCTGGAGAGCCTGTAACTGGTCTTCCCCTGAACCCTCTCACACCCTGTAAGTACCTCTGTCTGCCTAGCTGCCCCAGACAGTCCATGATCAGTTAGCTTGGGCATTTCCAGCACCCCTCTCTCCCTGGGAATGAGGAGTCACCAAGGTTTAATCAGCATACTGGGTGATCACCTGCCCTCCAGAACCCTCCCCTCCTCTGCCCACTCTGGGACCGATGCTTCTGGAGGTCTTTGCCTCCGACTGCAGTGGACTTGCCAAGTGGGCAGTACCTGGCAAGGTCAAGGGGAGGGAAGGAAGTGACTGGGGTGTTGCCCAGCATCTGCCACACCCTCCCCAGTGTCCCAGCTACCTGGCCCGCTGCCCTGTCTTGCAAGTCCAGCAGGCTGAGGACTCCTGGCTCTGCTGCTCCAGACTCACCGTGTTCTTCCTAAGTTTTATATCCCCTGCTCTTTTGTCTCAGGCTCCTGCTTGAGCAGACAGATTTCCTGCTGGGAGCCTGCACAGTTTTGGGGAGTTCCTGGTGTCACCACAGCTCCTCCTGGTGTGGCCAGGGCAGCAAACCCCACCCTCAGGCTGCCTCCTGTTTCCCTGAGGAGACTCTCCCACAAAAGACTCAGAAGGACCCAGAGGGGCTCTGGACAGCCTCTCCCAACTGTTCCATGCCTGTCTCCCACTCTCCCCACCAAGTTCAGAAGTTAACAGAGGATGCTCTCCAGAGAGCACTTGGTCTGGACAGCATCTGGGCACAGCCTACAGTGATGTGTCTCTCCCTCAGATACATCATTCTGGCCTGACAGAAAATTGCTGTAATAGACTTATTTTGGATCCAGAAAACTGTCAGAATAAATCTACATTGCCTGCTAGGAATGACAGCCACCACTTAGGCAGGACCTTTGCAGAGTACACAGTCTGAACTCCCCTGCTTTTCTAGATAAATCATGGGTGTGTTCTTCCTTGCTATACACTCATGACGAAGCCCTACACATTTGGGGACACCTAGGGAGGGACTCTAGGGTCAAATGGCTAAAACCTGTGTCTTGTTAGAGAGAAGGAACACCTACTCTCTCCTCTTCGGCAGTGATACCTTCCTGGTTTAGCTTAGGAGACAAGTTGCCTCAAGGAAAACATGCTAAAGGATATGGGGGACTTTGCCTAGATGTTTACGAATGTGTTCGCTCCTTTACATAGGTGGACCAGCTCATTACCACAGACCCCAGCGGCCTAAGAATTCATTCTTTCCCCTATATTTTAAAAGACAGATATGGAAACTGAGTTGCCTCCTGGCTCAGGAGTCCCTTCTAGTGAAACCCTATATCACGGGGTTATTCCCACGTCCCTTCTAGTGAAACCCTATATCATGGGGTTATTCCCACCTTCAATAGCATGGGAGACCTAGGAGCATGGGAGACCTAAGTTACAATGTGTCCTACATGCTACTTTAAAAAAAAAAAAAAAAGACCTGCAATTGTAGGTTCTTTGGTCACCCGGGTCCTCAAGGTTGCGAGCTTGGACATCATTTGTCAGTTGGAGACATTTTTTACACTGAAGTCGCAGCTAAGGCTGGATCCACGGTGCTCTGGTCAGAATCTATACAGCTTCTAAAATGAGCATCAATACCAACGACAGCCAACAAAATGCAGCAAAGGCTAACAGCCTTCTCAGCCCAGGGGATCCGGCTCCATCTCCCTCCAGCTCCTTCTCCAAAGGTGCCTGAGCTAATGGTTGGCTTTTTTTTTTCTTTTGGCTAATCAGAAGAAAAATTGATTACCAAAATTATAATTAAGAGCTGGGAAAATATGCAACAATTTAGCTGCTTCGTTTAACACGTATTTCAGGTTAATTGCATGATTTCGCTAATGAAGATATTTGCATGAGTATTTTGGGGTGGCTATATCCAACTTATTGTGTTGTGAAGACGCAGTGAGGCAGCTGACTTCACCGGTGTTGGATTTAGAACAGGAAAAAAAAAAAAGGCCAGGAAAGGATGCTGGTGAGACTCTGGAGAGACTGTGTCATAGAGAAGCCTGCTGTGTAGCTGAGGGTGACCTTGAACTCCTGAAGTTCCAGCACAGGCCAGCTCTGAGATTCCAGGAGTGCACCCTCACTCCCACATCAAACAGTGCTAGGATTAGACCCAGGGCCTCTTGAACATTAGCACATCCTCTGCCAACCGTGCTACAGCCTCTGCCATATTTATTGGTTGTTCTTGAGACAGGGTCTCACAGTGTAGCCCAGGCTTGCTTTGAACGTGAGGTTCTCCTGCTTCAGTCTCTGAGTTAAGCATGGAGCTTAACAATGGAAGTTGGACAGTCACACGGCAGAAGTGGGGCAGGCTAGTGGCTCCTGACTGTCAGAAGAAGTATAAGAACGCCCAGAGTGTCCAGAAGATATGCCCAGATGTGGCCAATTCTTTTGTTTTTTTATTTGTTTGTTTGGTTGATTGGTTCGTTGATTTGGTTTTGAGACAGGATTTCTTTGGGTAGCCCTGGCTGTCCTGGAACTTTCTCTGTAGACCAGGCTGATCTCAAACTCAGAGATCTCCCTGCCTTTGCCTCCTGAGTACTGGGATTAAAGGCAATCCCCCAGGAGGAATTGGTGTTTGGGTTGGAGCTTCAGTTCCATGGTAACATATGGCTTCCAGCCAGAGAACTCATTGAGAGGTCAGAAACCAGGGCTCCTCAGCATCTGGGCAGAGAAAGGAGGACATCCCTGGACCACTGCTGAGGCCCTGACCTGAGCTGCCTGCCCAGATTCTTCCTGTCAGCATCACATCTGTCTTCTAGTGAGGACTCTGCCTTCATGCATACTTCTGCAGCGGTAAACAAGCGGAAGGGTTTCTCCTTTCTCTCCTTTCTCTAACACTCTCGTTCAGAATGCGTGGGTCCACTGCTTGCTTTTCTGGCTCCACGTTGCTTAGGAAATGTATCCAACAGCCTAGACGTGGTTCTGACCTATTTAATTTACGGCACATTGCATATTGTATGGGATCTTATTAGACTGGTACATTAGCTATTTTCTCCCACAGGAGGGCATGTCTGCCAGCGACGTTACATCCACAGACAAGAAGCAGAGATCAGTGAATGCGTGCTGCTACTCAGCTCGCTCTCACCCCCCCCTCCACAGTCCAAGACCTCAGCCTGGTGCCACCCCCAATTGGTAGGTCTCCCCATCTCAGTTAATATGCACTTAAGACAGTCCCCCTGTAGGCATATTTAAAGGCTGGCCCCCAGGTAATTCTAAAGTCTATCAAGTTGACGATTGACTTTAAGCACCACAGGACAGCTGTGCCTCTGGTTACCCCACCCAGCACAGGCTCTCCTTTAAATAAAAGTTGGTAGAAAATTCATGGGGATGCCAAGTATAATCCCCCGGGATCATAATTTAGAATGTAGCAATAAGCTGGGTGGTGGTGGCTCACACCTAAACCTCTAAAACTGTAAGCCAGCTCCAATTAAATGTTTTCCTTTATAAGAGCTGCCATGGTCATGGTGTCTCTTCACAGCAATTGAAACCCTCACTAAGACAATAAGACAAGACCCAATTGCCACTTTTCTTTTTCTTTTTGAGGGAAGAGAGGAGCTTGTAACTCTAGACTGGGAAGGCAGAGCCGGGATCTCCACAGCCAGCTGGCTAGCGAGGCTGCCCCTATTGATGAGTTTTGCTTTGATGGAGAGATCCTGCCTCAAAGAGTGTGGTGGAAGAGCAATGCACAGTGACTCAACATCAACCTTGGGTCTCCATCTACACATGCAAAAGTACATGTGTGCAAACACACACACACACACATGAATGTCTGGTGGGTGGGGTCACTTTCTTGCTATTTTATTTTATTCCAGATTCTCTTAAGGCCTCCTTTTCATATGTTCAAGATGCTTTCATGACGGAAACACTGATAATGGGGAAGATGGGACTTTAGTAACAGCGTGGTTTATACTTGGTGTGTACAAGAAGTCAAGACCAACAGTTCTCTGGCAGACCTGTCACCTCCCTGTACCTGGACCCAGTACCTCACTTCATATAACCAGTGGATGAAGTCACTTTACTGCTTCTAAGTTCCATCAAGGCTTTGGAAAGGCTAGGCTTCACACACACATAAATTTTCACATGAACTTTGCTTAAGCTAGGTCTTGTGGAAGAGAGGAATGAGGCACAGTAACGATCAAGCTGCCCTGTTCTGTGTGGTCTTGTTACCCCAACAGAGCTACCTATGAAGGTAGAACACTCCCCCACGTAATCCAAGGCCTTTATCCACACAGAGGCTCCCCATATGGAGAACGTGCCCACTCACATCCTCAGGGGGATGAGGACAGAGGTGAGCCGTGAAGATGTCAAGGAACTCAGCAGGGAGACACTGGGTGTGTAGTGAGACAACAGAGAGGAGCTCTGAGAGTGGAATGGACACCTCAGGAAGGTGTTAGCTGAGCAGGACGGAGAGGCAGAGTGAACCAGGCAGGGGAGACAGCGTGTGCAAAGGTCCTGGGCAAGCAGGACAGGCAGGCATTTTGCCATAACTTGTTGGTGGTTTATTCTCAGATCTGATCTTCATGTTGGGCTGAATGCTTCTGAGAGCCAAGGACACATCTCAGTTCATCAGTCTAGGCTTCCAGCACCTAGAAACCAGACACACTTGTAGTAATAGTGAATGGGTCAAAATGTCTAGAAAAACCAGCCACCTACTAGGAGCTCTTGGGAGCCCTGCTCCATCCATCACTGCTTCTTACATATTCATTCATTCATTCATTCGTTCGTTCGTTCATTTGTTTGGTGTGTGTGCATGCATGCATGTGTGCATGTTCGTGTAACTGCGTGCGTGTGGCAACCATAAGACAGCCCCTAAAAGTCAGTTCTCTTCTGCCACGTGGGTTCCAGGGAATGAACTCAGGTTAGCCAATTCGAAGGTCCACCTGCTGCTTCTTCATGTTGATGACTTCTTCCCTTTCATTGGAACTCTGGGTCCCTTTCTATAAACCACAAGCGTGAGATCAGTGGGCCAAGAAGCCATTTCCGAACAAACTCTCTGTTAGAACTTCAAGGCCCAGCAGTACAGGAAGCAGTCGGTGCCCGTGTGCTCTGGGTTTAGCATGTGCCCAGTCCCTATCTCTCTCTGCTGCTGGGAATCGAACCCAGGACCTTGAACACACTAAGCACATGCTCTACCACTGAGCTCCACGCCAGCGCCCACAAAACCCTTAATGACACTAACTCTAACACCCATTAATGCACTCAACACCAGGCCCGGCATGCACTCTCAACTGATCCAACTGAGTGGCAAAGAGGATGGCAATGGGTGGCCAAGGGGAGTCTTCTCAGGTTGGAGCTCCACCCTCTGTATCTCCCTCTTCCTAAGTGAAGCAAACGGCTTGTTGGGGTGCAGAAAGGACTGCTCCAGGCGGGGAAAGTGCCCTGTGCACCCCCACATTGCACCGCTAGCTTTCACAGGCCCTCTTGCTACATATGTTACTAATCATTGCAGAGGCAGTATCTACATTTACACAGCCGTGCGCAGGGTCTAGCTAGTTTGGAGTCAAGCTAACAAATTTGTAGCTATTAAGAAACACAAATCACCCTGGTAGGCTTTAAATTCTGTAATCGCAAGGGCTTCCCTGTTAAGACCAAGGCTACAAACCCGGAGCAATTAGAGTCTAACTGTGTGAGTGGGGAGATAAGCAGAGATACAGGACCCAGCCTCTACCTCGAGATCCTAGGTTAGAAAGAATTGCATTAGAAGACCACCACAGGGCTATTTTATCTATCATCATCTAGTTTGCAAAATTTGGGAGAAAAATAAACAACTCTTCATGTGTCTTCCAAAGAGACAGTTGAATCTTAGAGTCCTGATTTTTACTACTGATTTCCTTGCTCGGTTACTAATGACAGCTAATTATGGGGTAATCATGAAAGGCTGGACATGGGAAAACTGCTGGACTGTGGGGGATAGTCAGACACTTGTCTTGAGAATGCTCCTAGTGGGGGTGGGGTAGCTGAGGGGACCCCACCCCGTGCGTTTATCCTGGTGAAGTCCTCACACTCTGTAGCTGAGACTAGCAAGCTCTAAGACATGACGCTATAAGGCATCCGCTAAAACCGGAAAGGCTGCCATAATCAAAGCTAACAAGGGCTATCTTCTGGCCTGAACTTTGCTCTTCTGGAAGGAGCAGCCACCTGGGCAGGGCTCGCTTTTCCCAGCTGAAAGTGCAGCCGAGTGACTGGGAGAGGTACCTTAGGCAGACTTTGAACTCAGCACCTCTAAGGCAGGGCACAGGAACAGTAAGATTCCTGCCCTGGTCCCGTTTTTAATAGTGTCCACTAAACAGGCTGCCTTTTTGAACTGTATTTGCACTGAACTTCTGCTCTCTGTAACCAAGGGAAGGCCACTCCCAAACCTACTTAGGCCAGACTTCTGGGCTTCCCTTGCAGTGCTTGGGCCCAGTGTTCAGACACAACAGTCCCCTGACATTAGGTGTACAGAAGGAGTGGAGTGGACCTGGTCTGGGTTCATCTGCCCCACTTGGAGCATGGTTTCCAGGACTTAGCACAACTGACTCCATAATAGAAGTTCCTACCATTCAGGCCGTGGAACCTGGCATGTAGACAGTACCACCAGCCAAAACAAAAACAAAGACCTAATCCATCAAAGCCTGTAGCTCTAGGAAAGTCCCTAAATCTACTAACCTTGCTTCTGGCTAGCTGTTCGTGGTAAGGTGTGTCAATCAGGATATGGTTTTGGTGCTTAAAAGCTCAACCTGAGAATGGCTCAGGATTGTACTGGGGTCCTTAACACCCAGTGTAGTCACCAGTCAGTAAATAAAGACTGTCTACTGGCTTAAACCTATGTCTCATCTCTGGTAGAGCCTCACAATATCCCAGCTGGCCACCTTGGAGCACGTTGGTGATACAAAAAAAGCTTAGGAGGGTACAGTCACCCTGTCCCTATCTTAACTACAGATCCTTTTAAGTGGGAAACGGGGCGTGAGGCCCAGGACAAGGACCATGGAGAGATACTTAGATCACAAGCAACAGGACACAGGGGATCCCTGGGTTCTCCCTAGCTTAGGTCAGGAAGAACACAAGCCACAACCACAAAAGAACGCAGGACAGTCGAGAGTCTGTGCATCACTGCAGACAGTCGGGGCTGGAAAGGGAGCTTGCGTTTTACCCGCAGCCTTCCTCCCGGGTCTCTCCTCCTCTTGGCTGTGTTGCTTGCGGTGGTCCAGGCTGACATGTTCAGGAGGAGAGCAATCTCTGAAGAAAGGGATGGGGTAGTGGCAGACGTCTCCTTCAGAATATTCCAACTGAAGCTGTAGAATAGAGGGTTCTTCCTAATTAAAACCCTGCCTCCAGAAGGAAGAGGAAAGGTTAAAGTTCACAAGGCTAGCAAAAGAAAAACTTGGAACATTCTGGAAATCCCTTCCCTGGCTTTATAAAAGAAATAAACAACCTGTGGGGAAGAAGCCTCTGGCCAGGCCAGCTGCAGAAGGAAGACACCTGGTACACTCTGAGCTGCAGAAGGAAGACACCTGGTACACTCTGAGCTGCTGCAGCTGTGCAGAGAACACAGCTGCAATTTCGATGAGCTGTGGTTGTCACCTGTGCTGGGGTGGATTTTCTGGTTATGCAGCTGCTTTTCAGTCATCCGTGGTCCTACACATAACCTCTCACCCATACTCCAGTTAGCAGACCCACTAAACTCGTTCTTTGACCAAGGTGGTCTTTGGTGCAATCATTTCATTGGACTGTTGTGGGCACCCCTGCTGGGCTGAGTTGACCTGTGTGTTGCATCTCCCTAAAGTCTGTCACACAACAAAATGCTGGGATGGAGTCTCCTGGTACTGGCCTGGGTCTTTAGTTCGTCCTTGAGGCATCTGAGGCCAGGAGGGTACGATAGGCTGATTGGCTGGGCCTGGGTCATGTACTCAGCTCTGGGTTCGAGGATTGCTTAAGCCTCCTGCAGTAGGGAAAACTGGGTGAAGAGTGTGGAAGATCGGGGGAAGTGGAAAGGCCTTTTTCTTGCCAGCACTGCCATTGGAAAAGACCCAGGAAGCCTCAAACGCCTGGGAAAGATGAGCGGTGGAGCTGCGTGCGTGGGAGTTTTCCTACACAACTCCTCGGGAGTACTTGGGCTTTTTCTTCTCTACAGAAGAAAACATGTCATAGCTAATGGTGTTTGCTAGATTTGGTTTCAGTAAAGAAATATGCATAAAACCCACTTTGTGAGCCATTAAGTGAAAGCCATCTGAGGGAACACGCGTTCTCAGTCATGCGTTACCCCTTTAATAAGAAGAGGCTCACGGGAAGGTTGCCCAAGTTAATGAGTGGTAGACTAAAATAGGAAGCTCAGAATGTGTGGTGTGTGTGTGTGTGTGTGTGTGTGTGTGTGTGTGTGTGAGCATGTCACGTGGGTGGATAAAAGGCAGGTTATTTAATAGATGGTATTAGATTACCTAACCAAGACAAGGCTCCTGCCTAACTACCTCACAGAAAAGTGACCTCCAATGAATTTGAGCGAAAGGAGATGAAAGAGCAGAGAGACGCTAACAGAAGAAACAGGGTGATGCTTCTGTGCTTCACAGAAATTCTTTTTAAAAAATTTTTTTTTCTGAAGCACAAGCTGAAAGGCAAGAGGACAAGTACTGAATCAATGTGGCACCTCACAAGGAAAGCATTTTTAAGATGTAGTACCAGGGGCCAGAGATGGCTCAGTGGTTAAGATCTTGGCTGCTCTTGCAGAGGACCTGGGTTCAGTTTTCAGCACCCGCTTGCAGGCTTACAACTGTCTGGAACTCCAGTTCTAAGAAATGCAATGTTCCTCTCTGGCCGTCACGGACATGGCACACATAATGGCGCACATACACACAAGCCAACAAATGCTCACGCTACGATGAGGTATCATGTCCCGTCCCATTTGTTAGAATAGCCACAACTTGAACAAAACAGAACAAATAACAAACAGAACAAAACTCACAGGTTGGTGAAGAAGTGGAGAGAAGAGAACTCTTGAAAAATGTTGGTAGAATTGCATTCATGCAGCCGCCATGGAAAACCATGACTACCTTGTGACTCAGTCATGTCCTCCATCCAGATGGATCAAAATCAATGCACCAGGGTGAGTGCTCCTCCTGATCCTACTGGGAGATTCTTCACAACAGCCCAGGGAAGTGACTCATTTTCACGTCATCATTGGCTAAGTACACTGTGGTATGCATGCCCACACAACAGAATATCACTTAGCCTTAAAACGAAAAGCCTGACATTTACACTAATTTTGGAAAACATCATGTTAGATTAAATAATCCAGGCACAAAGAGACAAGCACCATGTAAATTCACTGACATGGGGATCTAAGGAAATCAATCACATACACACAGAGCATAGAACTGGCTGGGGGTGGGGGGGTGGAGAGGAATGAGGGAGGACATTGGTCATAGGTACAAAGTGCCAAGTCATGCAGGATGAGTCAGCTCTGGAACTGGGAAGCCATTGCAGAGAGTTTTAATTGTCTGTGTTATAATGTATATTCCAGTTACATGTGTTATCAATATTACAAGGCGCATTCCATTTCCAGTGAAAAGTGATGGGGTCAGCATGTAGCCATGGCCCTTCCAGACAGTTTGTCAGTCTTCTACTCTCTCCTCCTTCTAGCTGTCTGTTTAAAATTAATTTTTAAAATGTATGTGTGTGTGTGTATGCATATACGTGTGCAGTACCCTCTGAGACCAGAAAAGGGTGTCCTCTACATTGGAGCTGAGGTTATCAGGGGTTGCGAGTTGCCTCGTGGGTACAGTGAATTGAACTTGTCCTCTGCAAGAGCAGCCAAGATCTTAACCACTGAGCCATCTCTGGCCCCTGGTACTACATCTTAAAAACGCTTTTCTTGTGAGGTGCCACATTGATTCAGTACTTGTCCTCTTGCCTTTCAGCTTCTACTTTAGAAAACAATTCTTTTTAAAAAAATCTCTGTGGAGCACAAAGACATCACCCTGTTTCTTCTGTTAGCATCTCAAATTCATTGGAGGTCAGTGTGTGTGTGTGTGTGTGTGTGTGTGTGTGTGTGTGTAAATGGTTGAAGCCAGTGTCTGTCACATGCTAGGCAAGGCAAGTGCTCTACTACTGAACTATGCTCCAAGACCTTCTACTATTATTTTTAAACAAGAGCTCTAAGTTGCCCAGGCTGGCTTTGAACTCACTCTGTAACTCAGGAAGCCCTTGAACTTGCAGTCCTTTTGGCTCAGTATCCCAACCAGCTGGGCTCAAAAGCTTGCATTCATGTAGTGTAGTCTCACTTCTGTTTATTGTTGGTGTTTTTGATAAAAGAACCAAAAAGTAAAAAAAATGCCAAGAGCAAAGCGAAGGCGCTTTCCCGTTATGCTTCCTTCTAATGGTTTTGTGACTTCAGATTTAACGTTCAAGTTTTTGATCCATTTTGAACTTATTTTTGTGAGGCAAGGGTCCAGTTTTATTCTTCTCTGTGGATATCAAGCTTTGTCAATATCATTTTTTGTTTGGTTTTTGAGACAAGGTTTCTCTATATAACAGTCCTGGCTATCCTGGAACTCGCTCTGTAGACCAGACTGTCAACATCCCTTCTTAAAAAGACTGCCCTGTAGTCCTGGGTGCTCTCTACTCTGTTCCTTTGGTCTGAGGGTCTATTTCAATGCCATTGCTGTACTGAATACTTAGGGGGTAGGGGAAGGCACAAGTGCAGGGGTCCATTGTGAGGTCAGAGGACAGCTATGTTGGATCAGTTCTCACCTTCCCCTGTATGTAGGTTCCAGATACTGCACTCAGGTCTCCAGGCCTTGGTAGGAAGTGCCTTTAGCCACTGAGCCATCTCACCAGTCCCCACCCTGAAAATCTTGAAATGATGAAATACAGTTCTTTCAATTTTGTTTTACTTACAATCGCTTTGGCTTTTCATAGTTTATTATTTCCATATAAATGTTAGGACTCCTTTATTTCTACAAAGAATGTCTTTGGGGTTTCAGTACAGATTACATTGACTTGTGAACCCCTTTGGGGCTTATGGGAATTTTAACAATATTAAGTCCAATCCAACATCCACACGTCATCTCTCCATTTAGCTGTGCCCTTGGCTATTGCCTTTATCGACATTTTCTAATTTTTATTTGTGCAAGATTTCCACCTCTTTAGTCAAATTTATTCCTAAGAATTTCATTCTTTTGTTGCACTTGTAAATGGGGCTGTACTATTTTCTTAATTTCCTTTCCGGAAAGTTCACTGCCTGTATAAAGGAACGGTGCTTTTTCTTTTGTATATTGACTTGTAGCATGCGACTTTATTGTATTTCTTAATCATAGCAATTTTGGTTAAGCCTCTGTGTGTGTGTGCACGTGCTCGTTGTGTGTGCGTGTATTATACAAATCATGCTATCTGCAAATGTCCTGGTTCCATATCTGTTGCTGTGCAAATACTCTGACAATAAAGCGGCTTGGGGAGAAATGGTTTATTCGGCTTACAGTTCCAAGTCACAAGATACTTGCCATATTGCAGTGAAGTCCAGGCAAGGATGTAAAGCTAAAGCAGAGAAAATAAGACCCCGGGCAGTGATGGCACACACTTTCAATCCAGCACTCAGAAGCAGAGGTAGGTGAATCACTATTGAGTTCAAGATCAGTTTTGTCTATACAGCAAGTTCCAGGACAGCCAGGACACTAAGAGACCCTGTCTTTAAAAAGTTAAGTTAAATTTAAAAGGTGAAGAAAATAAATGCATGGATCCTTGCTCTCTTGCTCTCAGTTAGCTTTCGCCTTTCTTTTACTATTTATTTATCCTGCCTACAGAATGACACCACCCAGAGTGCGCTGGGTCTACATCCATCAACAGTCAAGATAACCCCCCACAGACATGACTACAGACTGCCCAAAGTGCGCTGGGTCTACATCCATCAACAGTCAAGATAACCCCCCACAGACATGACTACAGGCCAACCTGACCTAGAAAATTCCTCACCAAGACCCTTCCCAGGTGATTCTGCATTGGTCATTTTGATAGAGCTAAACAGCACAAGTACCACAGAGATGGATACGTTGTAAAGAGTACCTGCGACTCTTGCATAGGACCGAGGCTCAGTTCCCAGCAGCAAGTTACTCAACGCCATCTGCAACTCCAGTCCCCCCCTGGGGGGGGGTCTTCTGCAGGTACCAGGCATGCACAGGGTGCAAGAACATACATGCAAGCAAAACACCCATACACACAAAATAAAAAGTCATTATTATTTTTTAAAATTTTGATGTTTTGAGGCAGAGTCTCTGGCTGTCCTGGAACGGAATATATAGTTTTCAAGGAAACATTGGCCTCTCCTTCTCTTTCCCGT